TCCCTAATCTCATGCCTCTTCTCTATGCAATCCAAGCAGATGTGCATACCTTTCCTCCAGCTTCCTTTGCTCCAAATCTTTCGAGGAAATCGCCGTAATGGACTACTGGGACTCTCTTTCCTGATGGTTCTGTTACGACGTGGACTGGGATTGGGACTAATGATGGAGATGGCCCATCTAATATCAGAATATAATTGTTCCAATTATCCCTGGAATTCTCTTCTTCTGGTGGTGGTTTGTACAGACCCAGATGAGTGAGTGCCCCTATAACCATGAATTTCAGATGGTTTACTAAGTTCACGAAGAATGCGATGGTAATAGCCTTCGGTATCTTGATGGCAAGATAAACGAAACCCATGATTCAATTTCACTGAGAGAGAGAGAGCAATTGATAAGTGGACGGAAATGAAAAGGGCTAAGCAGAGACCGTATTTGCAAAAGGCATTTGGAAAAGTTTACCACCATGATTTGATGACAGTTTGCCTTTTTTTTTTAAATCGATGATGATGATAGGTTCTAAATATTTTTAAAAAATCATACAGAACTTAATTAATTGAATTGAAATATGTATTGATGAAGCTAATTTGGTTTAGTATACAAAAAATTGGAAATGATTTCCTATTATGTTATTCCGATAGTGCCTAAATTCTTTGATTTATTGGCAACGGAATGGGATAGAGAGGGATTTTAGAAAGGAATATGCTGTGTTTATCAAAAAAAAATTTATCAAATTTTTCATACTAAATAATGTGGCACAATTTTCGTTGTTAAATTTTAATAGGAACCACTAACCTTGTTGGAATTTGACCAAAATTTTCTAATTATTATGAATGAGAGTTTATTGGGTAATCAGTGTGAGAATTTTATATAAAATAGAATTATATTTGAAGAATTTTAATATACCATAAATAAGTATGTTAGACGTGTGATAGGAAACATAAATATTAAGTTATATATGAATAGGTTTAGGTTACAGTTTTTTATCGATATAAATAAGAGTGTGTATTATATAATCAGTTATCAAATAATCAAATTTTAATAAATAATACATCGATATAGATTATTGATCCAAAAATATAAGTACTGTATATCGAAACCCACTTATCGAATAGTAGCATTACTTTTTTAGAAAAGAAACCTATGCGAGGATGGACAAAAATAAGCAATGATGAACCCTTTTGTTTTGTTCAATTCTTTTAAGTGCAATGGGTAATTTTTTTTTTTCAAAAAATTAATGTAAAACCCAATATTAACAAAAAATGTATCAATGAATGGAATGGCATGTGATTGATCGTGCTAGTAATTTGTTAAGTGCAAAACTTATAGTTATACTTATCAAAAAACTATACAATATAATTAATTGATCTAAATTAATATAGGGTTAAGCAAATTTGAGTGAGATTTTAAGGGATACGGATGATAAATGGATAAACTTATTAAACTCATTTAATAAACGGATCGTATTCAAATAAAATATGTTAACTCGTTTATCATATATTTACTCATTTAAATAAAATTAATAGATTAATAATTACTTTTAAAAAATTTAGCCAAGAATAATATATGCAGTTTAATAATTAGATTAATTAAAATTATTAAACAAGTTAAAAGAGTCAGTATCGTGTAACCTGTTTGATAAAGGAATTGTGTTCGATTTACAGATTTTCAGTCGTTTAATTAAACAAATCGTGTACGAGTTTAAATACTTTTTTCACACAAACCAGATTAGTCCCGATACGAATCTGCTTAACACAATACGGTTGACACTCCTAGTTAAAATTATAGTAATAGGCATGAATAATGAAAATTAAAATAATTGAAAAAGAATACCATGCAAAGCAAGTGACTATTATGTCATAGACATTTCTTTAATAAAAAGGAATTATCCTCCGCTGACTACATAGAGAATATAATGATCCACCTATTATTTTTATTTATTTATTGCAGACATTATCAAGATACAAAACTTATTTTATAGCAAAATTAAAAAAAAATTAAATAATAATCTATGGAGCCGATCTGGATTTAACTTATACTTTCACTTTTTCTGCTATTGAGATCGGCCTTGGGTAATCAGAGAAGGTACCACGTTGGGGGGTCCAATATGTAGTGTCGTATGGGGTGGTTTTTTTTTTTGTTTTTTGGAAGAGGCCGTGTCGGGTGGTTCTATGTATCATATGTCCCCCGCGGCAGGCGGCTCAACAATATTAAAAGAAAAAGTTTGGGCTTTTGGTTCTAAGTAACGAAAATTGGAACTAAGTCTTTTTTAATGAAATTATAATAATTTGAATTCGTCAAGAAAATTTGTTTGGTGATTAATTTGTTTTTTATTTTAATAATAAGTGATGAGTCCGAATTTTACTGGACTAAGCCCAATTTAAATAAACTGAGAAAGTCCGAAGAAAAATCCAACTAAAGACGTAACACAACAAGGAGCCATGAGGCCGTAAATTAACAAGGAGTCAAGTGGGCTAAAACACCAAAGGCTAACGCCCAAATGGGCGTCGCCCATGGCCAGACCCTCTTGGTTCTTGCCTCCTTGTCCCTCTTCTCCACTCCAATGCAAGTCCAAGTCCATACTACTCTAAGTCTAAGCTCAAGATCAGAATCAGCCCAGCTCAAGATCATCCTCCGACGGGAATAGAGACACAAGCGAGAGAATATCGGGATGTAGAGATTCATTCCTATTAAGATTATACTTACCAAGATAGTGGAAGTCCCCTTCCTTACGTCACCGTCTTGGTGTGTCTATATAATGTAAGTCCTTTATATTTAGAGGACATGCCTTCATAGTCTTGAGATCCCTACACACACTACACTTTCCTACACACATTGTTCTCTCTTTCTCTATAAGCATTGTAATACTCTTAGAGAATACTCTTTCTGGTGACCTCACCCATTAATAAAAAGATCCAAGCCACCGTTGCCGTTCTCGAGAGTGGAGTAGGTCACCCGGACTGAACCACTATAATTTTTTGTATTGGCTCCTTATTTACAATTTCATTATTGATTGTTTTATTTATTGCTCATTAACTTCATCCATTCATACACTTGATTCTTGATTTTGCACAAAAATTAATTTATGCATCATCAATAAGTATTTAAGTCCATTATTTTTTAAATCCTAAAAACATCATTAACAATGTTATTCTGCTTAGTCATAAAAAGTTAAAAACTTTGAAGACTTTGACAGTAGGTTTAAATTAATTTTTCAAAGTTGAGAATTATTTTCTCTTAATTTACTCATAAATTCAAATTTAAATTCATATGCTCTCTCTTTCTCTCTCCCCGATGTATCATCACTCTAGTGCACTCTTCCTCCTTAAAACACTTTTATTCTATAGAAAAAAAAATGAAGTAGAACACAAGGCATGTTCGCCAAGTTCACCGAGAAGAGGAGCTTCGAAAACGTTGTGTTGAACGTTGGCGTTGGTGGCGGTGCTGCTCCTGAGAATTGAAGACAATGAAGCCGATGAAGAGAGGACACAATCGAAGCTCAATGTATTATTGGTTTGACCCCTAGTTTTTATTTTTTTTGGTAAATAGTCTCCAATTTTGTTCAATATTTCATATTATTACATTTTTTGTTGACAATGTTATTATTTTTTTCTAATTGACTATATTACTATTTTTTTTTCAAGTTACTATTTTTTGTTGAGCATATTATTACTTTTCTATGTTACTTTTTTGATGTTAAAAATTAGAGGTTTCATCCTTTATTTTTAGATTTTGAATGTTACTATTTTTTTCATGTTACAGTTTTTTGTTGAGCATGTTCCTACTGTTATTTTTTCAAATATTACTACTCAATGTTATTTTTTTTGAATATTACTATTTTTTTGTATTTAAATATTACTATTTTTTATATTTAAATGATACCATTTTTTGTGTTTGAATATTACTATAGTTTTATTCTATAGATAGATATAAGAAAAAATTTTAATATTAGTCAAATTCCTAAAATTTAAGAGTGGTTAGTTTTCAAATTTGTTTTACTTAAACATAACTACTGGAAGTCTTTTGGACAATAGAGATTAAAATAGACTTAATGTTAAACAAGTTTTCTTAATAGATTTATCATCAAATAAGTCTAGAAAATGAGATCGACCTCCAAATTACTAACCTAAAAAAATTTTAAATTAAAAAAAAACCCAAAAAATTAAATATAATTAAAATTTTTATTGTAGTAATTTGAATCCATAATAATAGAAACCTAAAAATCATATATTGAAAAAATAAAAAGTACTCAAAAGTAAATTCATATTTAGCCCTACCTACTCTCTCTATATGAAAAATAAGTAAAAAATATAAAAAAAATTAAAATTAAACTCTCTCTCTGATAAAAAATAAAAAAACAAATGTTAAAACATTTTTCTTAGCAACAATAACACGTTCTTCTTCTGTCTCTCTCTCACATAAAAAATAAAAATAAACTATTTTTTAAAAAAATTTAATATTAAAAATAAAAAAGATTCTCATTCAATGTTGTCACCTTCCACCTCAAATTACCTTTTGCCAACCTTGCATATATTGTCCTTATTCGTATGATATTTGTGTATTTTTTTTCTACAGGGTGTTCAAACTTGTATTAATTATTCTCGTGAACTCTTAGATAAATTTGTTAGAGAATGTCCAGGCCCAGTAATTTTTAGTCAAATTTGTAACAGACATTAATAATTCAAATAATGTGAATCTAATCATATAATTGAGAGTACAATGTCAGCAATATGATAATTTAAGAAATTTTATTTCTTAAATTACCATATTTTTATCTCTTTTTTTTTCCAAACTTTATTTGTAACAAGGTTTACAGTACAAAAAATTAGAAAGGGTGATTACTGTCAATTTACTTTTGGCACCAGCAAAGAAGACATGTTCCTTTTAATAATTAATTAAGCTAAGATTCCCCTTTTGGTGTGTAAATTAATTTTAGTTCTATCAAATTTTTAATATAAAAAAAGTCCTCCAATTTTGGAAAAAAATTGAATGCAATCCTGTGTTGACGAAAATGTTAAGGGATTGTTTAGTTACTGATTTTTATTACCTATTTTGCCTTTATCACATGATTTTAGTTTAAAATATAATTAGTTTTTTTTTTGTTATTGAGGTTTTTACAGTGTTGTCTATCAATTTTTAAATTCAAAATCGTGAACCAAGCTATTTGGACATTATGATAACGTCTGACGATCTGTGTTTTAGTATACCTGTTTGACGATTTGTATTTATGAAAAAAAAAATATATTAATAATTTATATTTTAGTATTTTTGTCTGACGATATGTGTTTATAAAAAAGAAGGTACATTAACAATTTGTATTTTAGTGTATCTATCTGACAATTTGTGAAAGTATACAATTCTAAGGATTTGTAGTTATGAAGAATAAGGTATATTAACGATCTATATTTTAGTGTACTTATAATCTGTGTTTCAGTGTACTTGTCCCACAATTTGTGTTTATGTAAAATAAGGTACATTAACGATCTGTATTTTAGTGTATTTATCTAATAATTATTGCGTATCTTTTTTTTTTTTTATTGCGTGCCTATTATTTTTTAGCTTGAAAATGTATATATTTTTTAAATTGTGTATCTGTCTTACAATTTGTGTTTATGGAGAAAATGTACATTATGAAGATGTAATTTTTTAAAATATGTGTTTAAATTAGATGCTGATAATGTCGTTATTTTTTGTAATTATAAAGGACATTAGTTATGTCTATTATTTTGACTTTTCAACAAAAAATTAGGGTTCGTTTGGTAACGTTTTTGTTTTTGCATCTTCAAAAAACTAAAAACAGAGACAATTTTTTGTCTTTGTTTTATAGTAAATATTGAAACAGAAAACATGTTTGATAGTCATTTTTGTCTATCAAATTATGAGAATAAAAACAAAAAATATATTTGATAACTACTTCAAGTTTTATCATAAATATGTTTTATAATATCTCATTTTTTTTCAAACAAATTAACACTTTTATTTCATAATATGGACAAGATATCCAACATTTGGTTCAATCCACTCCAAAACCTATTCAAACATCATTTTAAACCAATCCAATTCCATATGATCAAGTGAAATCCAATCCAGAGATATCTCATCTGGCAAACAAGCAACAATTAAACAACAGTAAAAGTTCAATATGACTTAAGTACAGCTCTCAAGAATAATATTTTGTCATGGCATTGGAGCAATTCTAAATTTTTTTTTATTTTTTTGGTAAAAAAGAGAAATATTATTGATAAAGGACAATATCACAAGAAGCAGAAAAAGCAAAACTTTAACAACAAAGAAAAAGCCAAAGTTGGCTTTAATTCTTCAAAAGAAAGACAAAAAAATGCCTTTATCCAAAGTCAACATTGCCCAGTATCTCAACAGCAACAAGACCTACATCCACCTTAATAGCACCCCAAAAGCAATGAACCTGTTGGAGACGCAAAGGGACATAAGCCCAGCTGAAAATCAGTTGAAGACCCAGTTGAAAATCTGATAAAAACCAACTGGAAATCCAGCTACAACCAGCTGCAAAACACCATTAAGAACCGAGCAGAGCAGTTACATGAAAAAAGCAAAATTCAACTGAACGGAACCAAGAATTCCCAGCTTCAGAATCCTAATAACAATAGTAGCCATCATCAATGAAATCCCATAAAGTAGTAAACCAGCTGAACACCAGATGAGAGACCCCAAGAACCAGCTGAAATGCCAGCAAGAGCCAAGTTGATACATCAACAAAACAGACAGTGCACATGAACATTGGACGTGAACAGTGCATCCCAACAACAAAATGGATCATGATGAAGCAGCTGACAAACCCTCAAGAGCAGCTGAGGAACCAACTGAGAGCCAGCAGATGAACCACTAAAGCACTTGGACAAAAAGCAGTAGCATTAGAAAACCAACTGTTCACGTGAACAGTCGCATGAATAGTGCACAAAACCCAAAGCAGATAGAACAATCAACAAAATAAAGAGTGATTATGCACCAACACCCCAGCTCCATGTCCTGACAAAAAGATCACTGCAGCACAATCCAACACCTCACATAAACCGAGGATGATAGATGAAAAGAAGAAAGACCAACATAAGTTGGCTTTAATCATTCTACATGGATCAAGGTGTACATCAAATCCAAGTAATGCATTGATAGATAAAAGAAAAAGGTGAAAAGAATAAATGTAACCATCATCAATACATCATCATCCTAATATGAACATCACAGATAATTTCATGTATTGACAATTGAAATGCCATAACAGATAGTCCAATTACAAAAAAAGAAATTCTACTAAAATTCTAGCTGATGCTCGAGTGAAATGCAGGCTCCAAGCTGCAGTCGAGGAAGCATGACAATGGTACAGTCGCACAAATAATAGACATATCTTAGATGGATAGACAAGGGAGCTTGATTAAATTCACATCATCTGCAGTTTTGAGACCTATGAAGCAATCCTAATCAATTGTTATTTAGTAAATATAAAATCCAAGATTATTCGACCATTCTAATGCATTCGCGTACAATATAAAGCTCTCTTTAATGGCCAAATAGGCTTATAAGGGATGTATACTAGGTTAAGGATTCTCTAATCCTTATGCTTGTTAGTGCTCTTTTGCAATCATTATTTATGAATTATTTAATCAAATTCAATCCATAGATTCGACAAATTATTCCCTATCGGGAACAAAATTGACAATGACTGATAGAACAAGCACACGTCTAATTGAAACTTCATTATGACTAGTTGAGCTAAATCCTGAAAGCAAATTAGAGAAGTTTCTACTGACAATCAACTTGCTGATCTACCTTTAAAGCCAGATAAAAAACAAAAATAAAATTAAATATCAGTTTGATGAGTTTCTTAACAGAGACAAATGTCCAAGCTGTTCTATAAATATACAGGAAATTGTGCATTGAAATATGGTCTGTAAAACGGAATCTAATGAATGGTTTGCAAACAAAACAAATGCAAAACCGAATCTAATGAAGGATTTTCGAATAATTACATCAAATTATATAATTTCGCTTGGCATTAAACATAAGATTTCCCCAACGTTGATGCCCACAAATGTAAAACCACTTATACAATTTAAACATATTTTTTGAGATAGAAAAACTAGAAAAAAAAAATACGATTAAAGCACAAAATCGTACAAATCTATTTAGATAAAAAAATATAAAAAAATAAAAAAATGATTAGGGTCTGTAATGTATAGATTTATGTAGATCTATGCATATATATACAGATTTATGTATATATATACATATATGTATACAATGAAAGGAGTTATATTTACCTTCTTCGTCTTCGGCTTTGAGTCGTCTTCGTGTGAGCCTTGCAAGTATCTACGTGTAAGCCTTGCTTCGTCTTCGTCGATCTGTGAGTGGAAGAGAGAGAGAACTTCCGAGAAGAAAGACGTATTGAGAGAGAGACGAGGAGAGACAGTCGTTGCTTACCTTCACAAAAGAGAGAGAATGGCTGAGAGAACAGAGAGTGACTGAGCGACTGATTTGTGGGAAGAGCAAGAGTGGTTTAGACAAAAAAGATCCCATATTTATAGCCCCTGTTTTGAAGTGGAATTTTGTGGCTAACAAGAGTCGAAGATAAGACCTGATTTAAACAATCCACGCGTGTTTTCTGTTTCGTGTGTTTCTTGGAACAAAAATTTTTTGTCCCTATTTTTTTGTCTTTGTCTCCAATACAACAAAAACAAAACAATACCAAAAACAGTAAACAAACATATTTTTGTTTTCATTTTAGACAAAAATTAAAACAAAAACACAAAACTCATAATAAAGACAGTTACCAAACAGGGGCTTAATTTTTTTTTTTCCCGGAAGACAAATAAACACACACACACAAAGTCCACACATCAAATGGCTCAAGCAGGCAGAGAGGTACTCACAAGCCCACATCATTCGGAAAATTGCTGATCGGAGGGAAGGAGAGTAGGCCACTTATACCTAATTCACAAAAAAAAAAAAAAACTGGTGAGTGAGGTTTTTATGAAATTTTATTCAACCTGTGACCGGCCTCCAAATTTCTCTAATTAATTGAACCATAAGATGACATTTGTTGAAATGAGGGTGATAAAAGGAGTGGGCCTTCTTGACCTACTCTTAATCGGCTTCTGGACTTGGGTGACGATTGGTTGCCCACTTGCACCAAATGGCCCACACCCATCCATTATGGGATTTACGTCTTATCATTATTCCTTAGTGTCACACCCTAACTAACTTGGGTGCAAATGGCCGGTCTTGGTAGCACCTTGCACCAAGGGATGCCATAAGTTGGAATCAAGGTGATGCGGCTAAGTGGTTCGACAGATTAGGGCGAACCAAGGCAGTATGAGAACACCCAGTTGAGCATGACAACACGTGGTGGCTCAATTGAAACAATGTGGGTGCATAGCTTTGGATTGCATGGCATGGGTTGAACCCAGCATGCACATTGGTTCGTGTAGTCAGACTGACTGCTGAATGTGGGCACTTGACTGGCACATGGCTGCTGAATGTGGGCACTTGACTGGCACATGACTATTCAATGCATGTGACCAGGAGGATGTGGGCGGTTATGATGCTGAGACACAGTTAAGACAGTTGCTGAGGTAGTTTTGGGCATCCCTAGTCTGAATCCAGTCTAGATGCATGTTGATGAAGGGCAGTTCCACAACAGTTACTGAAAGTGGTGGAACTGTTTGCTAGGTGTCGCACGGAGACCAAGCCTGCTAGCCAGTATGCTATGGAATAGCAAAAACGTGTGTAACTACCCCTTGGCAGATGGGGGTGTCATCTGCCTTACTCCTATATAAATAGGGGTGCTTGAGCATTCTGATGAGGTAGAGAGTGTTCTGCCTTTGAGAGTCCTTGTAAATTGTTGAGTTCAATATATAAGGTTTGAGAGTTTTGTCCCAGTAAACTCGTGTATGCCTTCTGTGTGAGTTTCTGTCCCTTATTCTTGAGTTTGAGTGTGGCTGATTGCAGTAGCAACGCCTTCACAGGTAGTCTCGAAGGAAAAACGAAAGTTAGTTTGTGACAGTTTGGTACCAAAGCGTGGTTTTGGCAACAAATCAACTATGGCTGGCGGAACGAATGTTGATCTGAGGGAAAAGATGGCACGTTTGGAGGAATTGGTTGGTCCTCCACAGTTCGGTGATGTTGTGACTCTCTTTGTGCAACTTGAGTTGCTGTATCAACGGTTTGAAGAGATGCGGGTTGCACATGAACAACTTCAAAAGACTAAATCTGATCACTTCAGTTGAGTGAAGAACGAAGTTTTTGACGTGCTGACTATGATCTCCAGGTGGACCGATGATATGGGAGAAAGATTGAGTTCCCTCGAGACAGACGTTTCAGTGCTCAAGAAGGCACTGAAGAATGCTTCTTTGGCTTCTGGCAGTGAAAGCACTCTGAAAGCCAAAGTGTCTGACCCTAAGCCTTTCACATGCAGTCGTAATGCTAAAAAACTCAAAAATTTTCTGTAGGATATGAGGCATTACTTCAAAGCAGTTCGCACTTCGGATGCTGAGAAGGTAGACCTCACTAGTATGTACCTATCTGGTGATAGTAAATTATGGTGGTGAACACGTTCTGAGGACAAATCTCGTCCATCAATTACTACTTGGGAGTCTCTGTCCACTGAAATGAAGGAGCAATTCCTTCCTAGCAACACGGCTTGGCAAGCCCGTGATGCATTAAGGAAACTTCGACATACAAGCACCGTGAGGGAGTACATAAAGCAATTCTCATCTCTGATACTTGACATCAAAAATATGTCAAAGGAAGACAAACTGTTCAACTTTATGTCTGGTCTCCAAACTTGGGCATAGGCAGAACTTCGTCGGCAAGGGGTGAAGGACTTACCCGCTGCTATGTCCGCAGCAAATGCGTTGGTTGACTACAAAACACAGGCTAACCCTCCAAAGAAGGAGTCGAAAGGGAAAACCAAGTTCCCTAAGAAGGACAAGCAGAAGAAAAAGGCTGAGAAGTTTGGCAATTTAGAAAAACTGACTGACAAAGCCTCTTCATCAAAGGGTGGTGTTGACTCAGGCTGTTTTATCTGTAATGGCCCTCATCGTGCCAAAAATTGCCCCAAGAAGGAAAAACTCAATGCCCTCATGGCTGAGAAAACTGACTGTTCTGACGAACCAACACGAGTCAACCCATTACAACTCCTTAATGCAATTCGCAAAGAGGAGACAGTGGAAAAGAGGGGGTTGATGTTTGTGCAGATTCGCCTGAACAATGTGACTGTCCAGACAACGGTTGATACAGGTGCAACCCATAATTTTGTTTCTGATCGGGAAGTACAGTGGCTTGGTCTGGTTTTGGTGAAAGATTCTAGCTAGATTAAGGCTGTGAATTCAGAGGCAAAACCAGTAGGCGGCATCGCAAGAGAAGTCCCTTTAAAAGTTGGTGATTGGCAAGGATCATGTGATTTTATGGCAGTCCCTCTCGATGATTTTCAGGTAATCCTTGGACTGCAATTCCTTACAAAGGCAAATGTGTCTGTTATGCCACATTTATATGGGATGTTCGTGATGGATATGCCCAATCCCTGCTTTGTTCCCCTCACTAAGGCCAAGTCTTCGGGGAAAATGTTGTCTGCCTTGCAAGTAAAAGATGGCTTGCGAAAGGG